GAGAGAAAAATTTGAATATAAAGATATAAAAAAAAATGTATTTGAAAAATTATATTATATATTGTATATTGAAGAAAAAAAAATTAAAAATTAAATTACTCTGGGGATCTGAATGAGGAACATATCCGAAATATAAAAAAATTATTGAAAAGGAAATTGAAATAGTGAACAATGTAAATACGTTTATCAGGAAGAAACTTGACTGAAATATGAAATTGATATCAGGTTAGTTAGCTCAGGTTTGCATATCGATTAGAGTCACAGTACGAATTTAAAAAAAAATATAAATTACTATGAACAAATCAACGCTAATTCACCTCCTGCTATTTCGGTATTACACAACACGCAGATACACTCAAAAGAAGCTATATGAAAGTTATTGAATACAAACAAATTTTTAAACGGAACATATCTGTAATAAAGAGATATATTTTCGAATATTTAATCTAAAGTAACAAAGCTAAATGAAAATAATACTAATACTAATCATAAATTAAATAACGTAACAAGGAATGAATTGAAAGATAGAAAGAAAGATGAAAAAAACGGTATACAGGTGGAATAATCTTCCTTTTAAATTGCATTTACAGGTCAAATAGATTCGGTTATGGTTAGAGTGCATGCAGCAATTGAAAGAAACGGGGAAACATATGTCAATCGTTTCTAAATAATTTTATAATTCGCGAACGGCTACCGGGTTCGAGTTAAGTTACTTTGAAATTGCATTTACAACAATCCAGCTGGGAAAAAAAAGAAGAAGCTTTTAGACAGTGGACCGAGTTTGGCTGGAAACTTGGACGCTAGTTTAACGAAAGCAACTGTTTAAAATTATTTGCAAAAAATTACAAAAAAAATTCCTCCCTAATATTATAAAAAAAAACAAAATTAAACAATTTATGCCAACAACATCAGGGTAAATGCATTATTTTTTTGTTGCAAATTTTCTTTGTAGGAAATTCAATGCAAGGATTTTGGCAAATCTTTTCTTATTATTTCTCGATAATTGGAGGAAGAGTTGTTTTCGTCAGTTAAATTAATTGGAAGTGCAATTTTGAATAAATGTAAAGATTAGGAAGAGATTTTATTCTAAAAGGATAGGTGAAGGTGAAGCTAGTCCGCAAATGACAATAACGTTTAGTCAATTTAAGAGATATATAAACTATAGTGTATACACAATTCTCCCTATTAGGCGCGGCTCCACTCTCGGGCAACCTTACAGGGCCAATGGTTACCCATAGCTTGGTCCGCTCCCATATGTTAGATATTAGATATTCTCTAAATAAACTATATATGTACATGTATATGTGGTACTTTAGAGTTACGTCTGGGTAGGACAGATGATCAAGCTGTTTCGTTCTCTGTCCACGTCTCAGATTGCATGTATGTATTGTGTACCTCTTTCATATCCGGAAACTCATATCTGTCTCTTTCGATCTGATATTTTTTTTTTGTGAAATTAAATTATGTACTCTGTGATGTTGAAAAAAGTATTTTAATGACAATATATATCATAATAAGTGTGGGGTCTGTAATGAGATGAAATACTACAAAAAGTATTTTATATATGTGTAAAATTGTAAATTGTTTGTATTTACTAATAAATACTAATGAAACTCCCCTGCAAGCATATGAAAAATGAACAAAAAAAATAATACAACTCTTGTTTTCTTTATATAACCCTTCCGATCACCGTCTTATACATCCAAAAAAAATAATATGTTTATAAAAAAAGTTACACTAAAAGTATTTATAAAATTTCCCAAATAGATAACAATTAATATGTATTTTAACATTTTGGATTGTGACAAATTAACACAAAGCAGATAAGTATGAATAATTCCTTCTTTTTTTTTTTCAAAGAAATTTTTTATTTTATTTCATATTTTTTCCATTTTCAAATATTTTCAAATTATAATTCCATAAAAATACTATATATATCAGTTCAGTTTGAGAATATTTCTTTCAATTAATTTCTATTCTCAACCTACTTGCTGTTATAGCATGAAAGTTTTCTTGGCCATGGAGGTGGAGGCGATGAGTTCAAATAACAGTTATGATTCAATCATCAACATTTGGTCACCACCTTTTGAACATGCCTTGTAGGGAATTGGTATAATTTTCAAGAAAATGTACAGAAAAGAGGAATTACCATTTATTTAGGGTGGTATGTCAAGAGATGAATCTTGATACCGTCCGATATGTCTTGGAATGTCTTTTGGTTTATATTACATACTACTTATAATTATGCTCATTATAGAATTCCGTTTTTGTCCTTTTTAGTGAAGATTTTTTTTTGTTTTAGTCTATATTTACTTATTTTAAAATTATATTTACGGACGGAAAGACTATTTAAATTATAGTACAAAAAAAAATAAATAATTATAGTATTAAAAAAGTATACACAGTAAAATATATAATAATAATAGTGGTGGATTGTTCTGTTGAAGACTCCGAATCCGAAGAGTCTGTTTCTGTATATTCCTCATCAGAGAAAGCTAGATCTTCTTCTTCTTCTAAATTAATATTTGCATAAAACCATTGATATAAAGCCTCGCCCTCCGCCTCCGCGTCATTTATTGGGATAGTCATATTCAAATTAAAATCATCGTCAGGGTGGTTGGAATCCGAATCCTCTGAATCCTCAACATCACTGTCAGCATCCATATTGTGCGCATCAATATTTGAGTCTGCTTCTGAAAATATAAAACAATAAAAATCTTATACTTAGACATATTTTTATACTTAATGTTAAAGTCAAATAAGAAATATAAAATAATAAGATACATACCTTCATTCTCTTCATCAATATCGTTAGGGATAACCATTGTGTTTCTCGCAGTTATAGTCGTAAATCTGTAAAAAAAATATACATATAAGCAGATATTTTGTGCTACTACAAGAATAATGAAACAATATGTTACAAATATTTATCAGAATAGAAACATAAATACTTTATTTTGATTTATATAACTGAAATATGTAAGTAGAAAAATAATTTTATTCAATATATTGTAAAAAGTATTTTTTAATCTTAATGTTTTAAATTCAAAACTCAAACTGATTTATAAATCTCGTTTACTTCTAATAATTTCGAAATTTAATATATATATATATTTAATCTGATTCATATTCGTTGTGAATTGGCGTGGACTTATGATCCTCAAACACTTACTCAGATGTGGAATGAGTAAATCATTGTTATAATGTTATTGTTTGTAATACTTTAAGAACCGGCGCACTGAATAAAAAAAAACTGAAAAAGACTAGTGGCGATTCATTTAGAAGTAAGATTCTATGATTGCGTCGCTATTATATCTTTTATTATAATTACATAACCTTTGGTCAATTTCCTATATGAAACATACATGAACCTACTAGAATCAACACAAATTGGAGGTAAATTATAAAATATTAAAGGAAATATGACAATTAATATTTGATTCTATGGAAGCAATTCAATTAACAAGTATTATCGTTACAAAGTAAAACATTTTGAATAAAATAGAGCATTAATAAAACAATAGTTTGTGAGAGTGCAATGATTAAAATCAACAAGTGTTACAGGTACAATTAATTATATATAAATGTAATTTTGTATTCCTATTGCAAAAACTAGTTATTGAAAACTTGATTATTCTGTATGTCTAATTGGATTTTACAACCAAACAATACCTGCAATTCCACTGAATTGAATTTTTGGTATGAATTAATCGTCTTTTGAAAAATATTAATTTAACCGTTGCAAATATGGATTCTCATGAGAATAACGTGGATAATCAAGTTCTGAAAACAGAACTTAATATTTACCTGGCTTTAATTAGGTAGCAAGTACTTGGTTTGGAGTTCGTTCCGGTAGTTCGTTGTAATTTTCTATGGTAGCAGGATGGTACGTGGGAGTCAAAAGCATAGAAGATCACATTCGTTGAACAACAAACTTGAATGATGTTAAGATATCGTCGCTTAACCTCAAAAAAACAGATAGTACTTCTACGTTGCCACCAGGCGGCGTGCAGCTACACGCAAGAAGTCACAAGCGCATATGTAGGCGCAGAAGACGAGATACACGATGGACGAAAAAAATGTGGCAGATGATTGGAAGATGGTAGAGCGCAGTAAAGACAAGAATCTTAAGAAGCTTAAGAAGAAGAAAGCTGGCTGGAAAGCGAAGATAGAGTTCGCACATTCCAGAAGATGACAGTCGTACACATCAAAGACGGGGACCAATCAATGGACCCTGAGGGATTCCGTTGTTTATTTTTATAACTTTCTTTCCCTGATCTGACGCGATCTCTCTGGAGTCCACAACACAATGGCCTAAACCAGTGGTTATCAAACTATGCATGTATACTACAGGAGCGCCGAGACAATTTTCGCTTTGAAAATAGATCGAATAGACCGAAAAATGTTGGGAACCTGGCCTAAACGATGATGGGTTCTCAATAAGTTTCAATGATTTTTTATCAGAATGAGCTTTGCGCTCCTCTACCTCTTTTGAAAATTTCCCTCTTTTGTAGCATCATTTATTGCATTCAGCACTGCATCAGTCTGGATCTGGGGCTCTTTAGTCGTCCGCAGACAATTGCGAATTCTTCTTTGGAGAACAAGGAAGTTTTCATGCTTAGGAAACTATGTTTCTGCTGTTGACCCGAGTCTCTGGGATTCAAGTTTCTTCTAACATATTATGTATCCCACAAGATGAAGTACGAGACAGAAGTTAATATAATTGTAATTATTGTCTAGAAAATTATAGAAATACTACCAAAATAATTTTTAAAGTACAAAGTTCATTCATGTTTAGGTTCTATTTGATACACATATACGCAACCCTAAACCGTTTTCTTCCATTCTCTTCCTATCAATAAACACCGGAGTGCGATTCTTCAGTGATACGATAAAGGAGTAAGGTTTCAATTCTATAAAGAAAATCGTAAGTATAAAAAGCAACTGTTCATAACGTAACTAGTTCAGTTCACTTTTAGTAATT